TTTGATATACGCAGCCCATCAAAGAAAAAGAATATGGAGTGGTGATGGTGAATATTGGCAAATACAACTTTTCAACATCATTGGAAGCAGCATGGCCAGCTCTTCAAGGCTTAACCACTCCTCTTGACTCTTCTTCACCTCTGCTCTCTGTAGCAAAAACAGTCTTGTCCTTGCTTAAGCAAAYATTAATTTTTGCTTGCACTGTTGGAAACCTTTCAGCTGTCTCAGAGCCACAGATTATTTTGAGAGATTCAGACAAAGAGGACTAAAGTTCAATTGTGGACTCATTTCTGGTGAGTCTATAGAATCAGAAGGAGAGTGACTGCCAGTGGGAAGTGTCAGTACTCTAATGGTCTAGCATCATCCATTTAGAGCTCAGTATTAATGAGTTTTGCTGCATGCTTGACATTCATTTGTTGAATCCAGCTGCATATTAACAGCTGGTTGCATTATTTCATTGAATAATATCTAAAAATATTTGTATTATAAAGTATCAGCAGCAAAGCTTGAATAAATTAACTGCAGAGACAAATGAAGAAATAAAATGCTTCAGATCTAACAGCCTAAAACAGGTGCCATTTGTGACCCCATGGATTGTTGTTCTCTAAATGGTAAAATACTGTCATGTCCCTGTCTCTGTAAAGCTCTACCTGCTCACACAGCATGGGGGTTGTTGTGACACTGGATTCTGCTTGAAATGGGTACAAGCTGTGGAAGCTGAAATCTGAACAAACTACACTGCCTGAATTTTGGGCTTGTATAGASCACAGAGAGCTTGAGYGAAGTGACTTTATTAGTGGAGCRTGGGGCRAATGCTGCCATGAAACAGGTGTCTCATACCAGTGGTATGTGCCACTCCTTTGCCCTGGCTGTAGGTATTTTAAGTAGCTTGGTAAGGAGACTGGACTCAATTCTGCTGCTAAATCTTTGGTCTGATGTCATTCTTCATGTGTCTTTCTGCATAAGGAATAAAAATAATAAAAACCCTTTTGTAAACAGTTTTGAAATCTCAACTGCAAAGTGCTGTAAAAACTGAGTTTACTTATGTGCCTGAGAAAAGTGATGTGGAGGGTTCTGGGGAAGGGATGAATCTTCCCATTCTCTGAACAGGTCCTTGCTGTGTGTCRGGGCAGTGTCCTGGATCGCCTCTCCTTGTGAAGGATAAGGATATTAAAACCATCTTCTCTTGTGTGAGTCTGATCTTTCCTAATGTCACAGGACAAAGCCATCATAAACATGCCACTGTAGTGTGAGGGCAAGTGTTGCGAAGTACTTTATGTTYCTGTCTCTCATACTGCATGTTGCAGGAAGATAATGATGAAGGAGTTTTCCATTCCAAAGGGAATAAAGCCAAAACTAGGTGGCAAGTGTGGTTGTCTGGTGTGCAAGCTGTACCTCATTTTCTCTGCAATGTGGAGGTAGGATTTGTCACTTCATAGTATAACTGCAGTCTSTCTTCTACTTTGTTCCTTTTCCCATTTAGTTTTGGTTTTGAGACTGAGCCTATTTAAAAGTATGCTTTTTAGGAAATTTGAATAAGAAAATTACTTTTTGTGAAGACAAACTAAATAGATATTTTTAAAATATTCTGTATGTATCTTAYAGTCTTTTAATGTCTGAAAGAACAGCTGACCCAAAAACCACCTGAAGCCTTATRGTAATGATCATTTGTAGAAAAAAAAATCTTATTTGCAATTATATAAAACCAGGATMATTTAAACAGCATCTATCAATAGGTAAATTGTTCACAAATATTCTTAAGTTATTACTTGCATTAGTTTATCTRCAGATAGGTAACAGTTTCTACTTGGTCTCATATTCCTTTGTACCTGTGTATCAAAACTCAATTTGGTTGCCACTGTGGWACTCTCAGGGAAGGCAGTATTTTTTGTTATTAATTTAAATGTGCAACTTTAAAATTTKATTAGATTTTGGCATTTATTTTTAAAAGGTGAATAGTTTTAATTGTGATGTAGAACTTGAGAAGATGTAGTTATCTTGACTTTCCAGTTGTCCAGCCTGCACGTGTAAGCTCCTTGCAGCCAAACTGGCTGAGCCTTCTGAGGTGGTCCGTAGCAGAGGAATGTTTTTCCATTCTCACAGGAGATAAAGGGAAAAAAACATGGGCAATGTGGAGGAGAGTGTTGCAGAAAAGGARGAGGGAGCTGGAAGGAAATACGAAGGTGCTGCATTAAGGAAGGGGATCCAGGAAATACTGCAGTAGGGGGAAGGGGTGCCAGACTGAGTGGCTGAGCACTACTGCAGTAAAGAAAGAAGGACAGGGAGTGCAGCCTGGGATATTAGATCGGGAAGGAGAATTCACGCTGATATTTTGAATTGCTCTTTTACCTACAGGCAGAATTCTTTGCCAAACATTTAATTTAAGCATTTCTAACTTACGAAAGGGACCCTTTCTTTGCCATATCACAGACATCTATCTGCTAAAAATACAATTTTTTTGGTGTTTTTTCAGTTTTATGGATGTTAAACACCCAAATTTGATACATCAATGTTGTAGTCTTCTGATCTGGGCCTGGAAAAGTAATACAAATAGAGAGTAAGTTTGGAGTGTGCTTCCTGCAGGACAGGGGCCTTTTCAGCATTGTCACTGCCTTTGAAGAGAACTGGCTCGGTGTCACTTGAGATAATTATTTTGCTTTTCAGCACAATAAGTTGCCAMTCCCTAGTAATATCCAACATTTTTTGTATTTGAGACGCTCCCAATCTTTTTGACTATGCCTATTTATAAAACCTTCTGTTAGGTTGGTTTGCTTGGGCCATACTACTGAYCTGGTAATGTCTCTATTAGTTCCTTTTTTCAGATGTTTAAATATCACTGACCTTGTTTTTTCTCAGAATTATGTTTGAATACCTAGCTAAAAGCTAAAATCTGGTATTATCTGAAAAATCATTTATTTTAATAATTTTAGTAAAGAAATATTAAACAGCTTTATTATTTAGCAAAAGGAAAATATAGTAGAAAGTATCATTATTATTAGCCTTTTAAATTTCAAAATTGCCTTCTGGCTTCCTAAAGATGCTTATAAATTAATTAAGTCTTATTAGAAATATAGGAAAAGGACTTTTTAAGTGAGCTCTGTGTGAAGTCATAATATGCTTTCCTTTTGAACATATCCTATGTATGGATAGGACCAAAACCTACACATGGCTGGGAAAATCAGGCTCCCTACCTTAGGAATGCCCCTTGTTTACTTCTGGAAAACACGAGCCCTTTCTTAACTCTTGAATGCATTCTTTGGTAGGTAATAAACATGCATTGTATTTCTCTTGGATTGTTAGGGAATAAATAAGACACTAATTAAAACCTTGAAATGCTTTTCCAAACTTCCTCCCACAGCAATATCCAGGTTCATACAAATTTGTATGAGTCAGACTAACGTTTGATGAGATTCAAACAACACGCAGCATTTTGTTTTTCTGTGACTTGAAGCAATTACAAACTACAGTTGGATTTTTTTCCAATTAAAAAATATGAAACATAGTCTCATTATTTTAATAAAGCAGAGTGTTTCAATCAAAACTATGAACTGTAAATTAATGAGTGCCTTGTAAACTCTGGACACATGTGGAACTGAAAGAGGTCTATTACAGAATTTGAAAATCTATATTTAATGAATACACCCACTACATCTATTAAATTGGCAAGATAATAAATGTGCAGCCCTCTCTTTTACTTCAGAACAACACATGCAACATAGTAATTAGCTGAGAGTTTTACCAGACATTGCAAATGCACTTCAGCTATACTTTTCCATTACTTTTGGACTGTATATGGCTGTACAAGTATGATGCTTGCCAGTCTGGTCTGAGTGCTCATCCTGTATTGTTTGGGCATTTATGGTGCCTACTTTTATGGCTTGAACAGAGTTATGGCTGCGAAAGTTACACTGATGGGTATTTGGTGACTTTTACTAACTTTGGCATAATTTCTTTCTCTTTTCATTCAGCTTTGTCCTGGATAATCCATAAGCATGTGACATTTCCAGTCTTTAAATGTCATGTCATGTAACAGAAGAAACTGTGGCACTGAGTAGGTCCATCCTGAGAGTGGGATACAAAAACCTGTCTCACCTATTTTTGAGTGCCAGGGTGTTTCTAAGGTTTCCACTTCTGTCTCTGCCTAGCCTTCCTTTGGCCAATTGGTGCCTCCCATATCTCTGTAGAATCCCAGAGTGTTAATAAACTAYAGTCATGCCAAGCAGGAACAAGTTAATTGATTTTTTTGGCAGATCTGTGCAACATGATGGATTCTGTTTCTATGAATGTTTCAGATGGTGAGACTGACCATGCTTAAAAGATTTAGTGGGCCTTGTGTTCAGACTCCTCTTGGCAGAGCGAAGTTCGCATTCAGTTAACTAGGCAGCTATTATAGCAACATGTTACAAATTGAATGCAATTGTAGAAACCAAGATTTTTCAAGTTTGTAGGTAAAAGTCACTTAAATGACTGTGTGGCAGCCAAGCCGTCAAGGGGCTTTGTTCATTTTGAATAATTTTATGTCATTTTTAGATTATTAGTTATATAAATTAATTGACAGTAATATATTTTTGCCCACTGTCTCCTGGACAGCATGCAACAGCCCCTTCTTCTGTYCTTCCTCAGCTTTTATTCTTTCATCTTAAAAATCTAGCAGCCACCAAAAAAGTAAAACATCTCTATGCAATTTCGTGTTTTTCATTTCTCTGTGATTTGCAGGCCAAATCTATTTACCCTGTAAGTACAAGAACACTTTAACTTGATGCTCTGCCAGCTCATGCAGAAATTCAGGATTGAAACTGGGTCTCTCAGATGAGCACAAAGATGTGGTTTATGGACAAATACATGCATTCATCTGTGTAGTGCACACCACATGSAACTGGAAAAAGTATTGAATGAGAGAGCTCTGTAAAAAGCCTTAACCACTCGATTATGTGTTCATTGCAGTTTTGCTTTTCATGAAGATGTTGAATCTGAAGCCACTGTCTCTTGTTGTGCTTTAGGTGCTGTAGCAGTTCTGATCCCTCGCCTGGACCTGGTGATTTCTTTCGTCGGAGCCGTCAGCAGCAGCACTCTGGGACTGATTCTGCCACCTCTGGTTGAAATCCTCACTTTCTACAAGGAAAACATAAGTTTATGGACAATATTCAAAGATATTTTTATAGCTGTCATTGGATTTGTTGGATTTTTAACCGGGACATATGTGACAGTTGAAGAAATCATTTATCCCGCATCCACAGTTCTTGCTAATGCAACAGGGAGCTTCCCTGCAGATCTAAATGCTACAGACTTGGTGGTTGGCTTAAAGTAATTCACCTAGCACTGTGAACTGTTTTGTTCCTTAACAAGGTATTTTTGACTCAGGACCTGCTTTCAACTACTGGTACTGTGTAGATACAGTTTGTAAGAGCTGTTGGATATACATGTGAAAATATGTTATTTTTTTAGGAAGTAATTATATGTATCTTCTGGACTTTGAATGAAAAGTTACAAGATGTTTATCAAAGCAATAGTACTTTCATGCAAAACCATTCARCATCACACATGATAAGCAGTTTATTTTTGTACATTTTGGTAACTGTTACCCTGACCCATTTTTTACACAATTTCTTTATCCTTGATTTCAACTATACAACAGTATGAAATACTGTATTTTTTATTACCAGTTGCTAGAAATCTGTAGGCTACATATCTGTATTTCTACTGGAACATATAATAATTATTTTTACATTCATATGTTCTGCCTTAAGTATGCCCTTTACATGTTTTTATTTCTTTTGTCTATTTTGKAAGAAAAAAATAGTAAGTTCATAAGTTGGTAACTAAGTTTTGTTTAGCAAGCCTGTGTACTGAGTCCCCATGTATAATCCTGATTTTCAGGGTTCATATTTGACTTTCTGTCTYGCACTTCATAGATGACTTTCACTCCAAATATTCAAGCGCTGTTCTTGGTTTTGTTTTCTAAAAAAACCTATATTTTGTGCAATAACATAACTATTTATCATACTTATCCCTGTTATGAAGAAACACATTTGTCTAAGGAATATTTTTAATCATAACACTCCCCCAAGAAATACGTTATGCCAAAACCTTTCCTCTATAGTCATACAAATTAGGATAGAAGTATATGTAATATTTTGCCTGCCTGCAGTATATTCCTCAGAAATCTACCATTTGGTAATGTACCATTTGGTATTACAGTGCTAGAGTAATATACTGCTAAATATATCTGTATTTATATTTTCTCTTAAGRGTATTTCCCCTGTCATCTACCATCTGGTGGCTGTAATGAGCACTTYTATCTCCATGTTGATGAGGGCATTTCTGACAGGGATTTGTTATAGCATGTGGTTTAAACTGCATGTATTTGTTCAAGCAATAGTTCTGAGTAAYGCTCTAATTTTGATGTTAGCGTGGATTAAGTTAAAGGCTTGGCAGGCACTTGGAAGGGCTGAGTCTCTGCCTGTGTRATACCACAGAATTGACCTTTTTTATGGAAGTGCCACAGTGGAGCAAACACAGGTAGTTAGCAGAGAAGCACTTCACCTTTTCGTCTTGAAGGTTTTTTAGTCTTTGAACTGTTTTAAAATACGTTGAATCTCAGTGTTTCCATCTGTTTCATAATGAATCTGTTGCTTACCTAACCCATAAACTGCACACCAATAGAATATATTTCTGTGCAGCATATTTTAGTTGACATTAAATACTTCTATTTAAGAACCATCTCTAGTAGGACTGAGAGGATTTAAATGCAAGTTGTTTTTCCTGTTAGTTTTCCATCTTTCTACTTGTGYATTGGGAGAATAAAGGACTTTGAAGTCCATTCATATCTGCTCTGCATCAGTTGTGTCCTGGTGAGCARCTCTGAGAAGGTGCTTCTACCAGGGTGCAGAAGGACTTGCCCTGTTCAGAGTTTGGTGGTGACTTTGGCAGGTGCAAGTGAATRTTTGCCATGGTTTTGTCAGGGAATGTTTGCTGAGCTGGTTAATATTTGATTACTTACGATCTGCAGAGGTGAMCATGGTGCCCAGTTAATGTAACATATCCTTGTGAAGATCAGATAATTTGTTCAGAAGCATCAGTAGGTTTAAGGGTTCTAATCTTAGCCATCAGACATTGGAAAAGCTGGCTGGAATACAAAGCCATGCACATTTTCCTGCTTTGACCGTGTCCAACCTGTCAGGSCTTAGGTTTCCAGACCAGCATGTGGCCACTGACTGACCAGGTATGAAGCAGTGTTTTTATGCAGCTGGCCAGCATTGCCAAGTCCTACAATGTTGTATATTTTGGGATCTTTTAAAGTGTCCATTAATATATTTTGCACAATGTCAATTTTCTCCTACAGTGTAGGATTTTTATAATTTTAACACTCATACAGCACATTCGCATGGCCTGCTCTTTCAGACAGAAAGAGTCAGGAATCAGTGTCCTGCTTTGGATTAAAATGTCATATAGTAAAAAACTGAAGTCTGACTAGTGAGAGTATCCTGTGAAGCATTGCCAAAGATTTAAAAGAGAGGAAATTCTGACAGAAACCTCTTCAATAAGAATATTCATTCAGCTTTTAAAGTACTGTAATATTAGTTGCAAGTTAAGGGGCAGGGAGTGAAACTGAGAGACTTCATAGGTATGGTTTACATTGAGGTATATATTTAAGATGGAAATGTACTTTAGCACAAGCTAAATTAAACTGCAAAGTGTGTGTGATTAGCTTATGTTCCCAAAAAGGAGCAGAAAGCTATTGTATTTATATATTGTACATGAACTTATATTTTACAATATAATATTGTTAACAGTTTTAATGTAATTTAATCATTAGCTGCACTACAGGTAACTGGAGAATTTTCTTGTCTGTAACTGTTCATCTTCAAGTATTGGGCAAATAAGCAGGTGGGTTTGCCTGATGTTCTGTAAAACAGAAATCTTCTGTATCAATAAACTACCAATTGCCCTGCAAACTCAGTGTTATCCTGCATGTCACCACTACTGCGTCACTAGAAGAAATAGCTGCAGAATATGAAGAATAAGAAATAATGCAGAATTTACCTTTGAATTTGTCCAAGGAATGGTGAATGATGTGAGACACACAGGCAAGCTGAATTTTCATTGATAGTATATCTCATTTTACAGTCACACAGGCACTCCACCTCCACTCCAAGGTTTTTCAGGAGGCACAGTTAAAGTTAAAGTTAGCACAGTTCTGCATCTTTTTAGAGGTGCTTTAGTAAATATCTTAACTTGTAAATCTAAACAGGGATGCAGGTGTTCCCAGTTCCTATTTAGAATACTGCAAATAAAAGTCCAGACTTTCTGCAATTGGACAAACCCTTAAATATTTGCTTTCGRCTTGACTTTATCTGTAAGTACAGAGTGCTCTCTCAACATGTTGATGGAGAAGGGGAAGCGTTAACTTGGAAAACTATCAGCTAGAGGTTAGCTGATGGACAGCCTGAAGGATTCCACTCAGTTCATCTTAGGGAGAATGAAAGGGAAGAGGGACATAATAGAAAAGTGATTATTTTATTAATTCTATATTAAAATGTTTCCAGGTGAAGGTCTAGAGAAGCTGTGTACATCACTCACTACCATTCTATAGTTGATGGAATGTATTATGAGCCTTGTAGCTCAGATTTCCCATTCTTCTGCTTTAATTTATTTGGTGATGTATGGATTAATCAGTATTTCTGCTCCTTTCAGATTTCTCAAGTGTCAAAATGTTCTCTGGACATTTAGGGTAGGAACCAAAGGTGGGAGAAGAGAGGGATTGAAGTGTATTGGGAAAAAATGAGTTGCATGGTTCTGTGAATGAAGAGATAAAAGGGGCCAGTCAGTCCTGTGTGAGCAGGGGATGGTCAGCACAGAGGCCAGTCTGTCCATGCCCCGTGCCTGACCAGGGCAGTCTCTCGCCTTCTCACTAAATCAGGACTGACTCCTGCTGTGCCTGGGCTYCTCCCTCTGAGGAGGAGTTTAAAAAGCAAGTTTAATAAACTTTGAAGCTTCCACTCCCCCCCACGACAATGTCCCAATACTTCYCCTGGAGGGGAATTGTCACACCTGAGCCTGTTGTGTAAGGGAGGACCTTGGCATAATAAAAAGGCTTGTCCCACCTCACAGGATCTGCTTCTTACTGACCTCTTCCCTTATGTGGCTCAAACCACACACATGTTCATGTGCTTATCAGGAATATGTGCTCAGCCTCACCATGTTCTGGACATGGAGCTGTGCCAGCCTCACTTCCTTTCTGCTACCAGCTTTGGCAGCTCCTCACAAACCCCCCTCATATTTTCTGAGAAAACCAGATTCTCTGGGGCTCAATATCATTGCCTCTTACTGCTGAGCTTTGGCCTTTCCTTTTGCAGGTGGAAGGTACATGTGGCCCCAGCACACCTTTTTGTCTGATAATAGTTTCTCTAGTGGTTTTTAAACAGCTCCATTGCTTTTTAAAATCTGGATGTGGCATTTTGTGAGGTGTTTTTCGTTCATGATGTCTCTGGATAACGCATGCTGGACAATCTGTCTCTTGACCTGATGGATTTGACTGTGAGTGAGCTCAAACTACTGAAGCCAGTGAAGTCCTTTCATTTTTGTTCTTACATATGCACTCAGAAACAAAGTTTTATTTTGGGAGCATTGTCATTTATATCTTAGATACTTAGGGAGAATTGATTGTTCTATATTTTATTTTTCAGCAACGTTCCAAAATTCAAATCATCTTTAATGTAGACGTTGAAGTCTAAATGTTGACATATAAATACCATTGGAAAGTTCAGAGTTTATTGATTGTTTTGGGACCATTTTCATATCTAATACAATCGCTTTGCAGAACAATTTTTTTTTGTTGGTTTCAATTGCCAGCCCTGAGAAACCAAAGTCCTGAGAAACCAAGCCCAGAGCTCTTTTCTAAATACTTCCTCAGGGTTACTAAAACCATTGTGAGGATTTGTTAGTCTTTCAGTGTCATTTGTGCTACACCATCTCCTCCAAAGCCCATGGCATTGCTACTGTTAAAGGATTCATGTTGAATAATAAATTATTGGAGCAATTCTGGACCCCAAGGTAGAGGATCCATTTGTTCCTGCTGCTGGGCAGGCTCCAGTGGGGGTCAGCCTAAGGCTCAGCAAACTTATTTTCACTAAAAATGGCCCAACTATACACAGAAATAAGACCATCAATGGGAACTTGGCCTCTTTCACCTCGTCAGCTTTACAAGCCACCCTGGTAAGAGTAAGCAGTACCTGGGTTTCCCTGCAGATGTATTAGCTTTTACAACACAGCTCCTGCTTTGCTTTAATCTCCAAAACTCTAATGAGGCTTTTTGCGTGGATATGGATCAGATTCCTCCCCTTGCTTTTCCCTCACTTGACAACTCTTCGTTGTCTCAAGTTTCTGTTAGAACTCATGGTTCATATGCTGCCTCTGCAGGGTTATTGCATCTGAAATTCTCCCTTTTCTGAGTCTGATCAGTCYGTGGATCATTTTGTATCTTCCCATCCTAATGTTTCACTCTATATATCACTGGGGGATTCCTTACTTGGCTATTTTTTTAGTGAATTCTCTGCTATTCAAAGTTCTAAATTTCTATTATAATTGCTGAACTCGTGTCAGCTTGGTTGAAAGTATCATTTTATATATAAAAATAAATGCATTTCATATACATGTTTATTAAAATTACACATTCTCTTCCTATCTAAACTATTTTCTTGCAACTCACTGCTATGCCTTGCATCCAGTGATTTTTCCTGGCTCAGAATGTAAGGCTTGCTCTGTCCATGACTCTCAGTTTTAGAGAGMTGCTCATCATCGTGCTGTTAGCTGTTGTTTATGGCTTGCCTTGTTCATTCAAAATGCCTGCATATCATGAATGCATATCTGATTTGTATTTATTCTGAATCTCAAGTTTCTGCCTGTTTTATTGAACCCAGGTGTCCCAGCTGGTTATAAAAGATGAGAATTGGGGGGAGTTCAAGGATTCAGTTGACAGTGATTCTAATAAGCAAATGTGCCTGTGTCTAGTGGAGTTATCCAAGAAGCAAAACAAGGTATATTCATTTTAGCTCCATGAAAGAAGCCTCTCAGGTACACCCTTGAGAAAATCTCCTTAAAATAGCTRTGCTCTTGTGACTGCAGCATAGACATCTCAAGGAAAGGCTTCCTTCATTATTTTCCCTCATGTAACCCCCAAAGGTTGTTCACTGGGGCACTCAGGCTGTGTCTCAAATATCTGCAGGTGCTCCTAGGTCTGGTTCTGCAGTCCCTCAGTTCAAAGACCTGGCCAGGGTGGGCCATGGATCTCTTCTGGAAAACCCATCATTTGGGCTGGGGTGAGGGCAGGAGAGCAGGACTGGTGTGGGCCATGTCTCAGCAGAAATGCAGCTGAAAAAGCTGAGATGAAGGTCCATGCTGGAAGCTGGAACACCCTCCTGGGTGTAATCCAAGTGCACAAGGACAGCCCAGGGGGATCGTAGCTGATGGTGTGCTTTGTTCACAAAAATCTGCACCAGTCAGGCGMTTCCTCTTCCTGAGGTTTCCTTCCCCCTCTATCCAGCAGACAGCTTCTGTTTCCATCAGATTCAGCCAGCCCAGCTGATTATCTCTCCTCTTTGGAATTGCATTTCTGCCATGTTACATTTTATTTCAGTTACATGCCTCGCCTGGCACAGTCACAGGCAGTGCCAGTTGTTATCACAGTTTCTGTGATTTTGTCCTGTAAATGTTGGCATCTTGCTTGGGAGGCAGTGCTACATTTTGTAAGAAGTTTATAAACTTACAAAGAATTTAATTACAGAACTTTTTTCCTTTGTTAAAACCTAAGTGCTACATTTCTTAATTAAAAAATGCAGCGGAATGACCCTTCTCAGTGTCCTAAATTATAATGCTCTTTTTTGATATAGAACAGGGCTATGAATCTTGTGACAGCCAGAGGCCAGGCTGGCATCACAATTCTCCTACAGCAGTCATGTTGTTCAATTTGATGACAAATGATCTCTAACAGACACTGCAATGCTGGCAAAATTTTCTGTGCCAACACTATTTTCCCAGTGTAGTTTGTTACTTTTGGACCTTAGGGGAAGGAATGTGCAGTTTGTCCTGCAGTGAGGTCAACTACCCTGTGGCAGAAAACAAGTTTCTGGCTTGCCTGGAGACTTTGCTTCAAACTGTGCAGCTTCTGCACAGTGGTTGTTTGACTGCCCTATTTCAGCCCTTACTCACATCTCTCTGTATTTGCGATAGAAGTAATTTTGTTTTGGTTT